CAGCATAATATCTCAGCGTACACTTTCATTAAAAACACTTAGATATACTTCAGCATAATATCTCAGGATACACTTTCATTAAAGCATATATATATATATATTTCCACATATCCTTTAACATAACATTTCACAAAACACTACTATTAACTGACTGAGAGAGAATAGTGAAGTATACTTACAATGGTGTTGGAAATCGAATAACATTAGACACCTTCATGTTGCCAAGTCAACCTGCAGCACTTTAGAGGGATTTTCTGGAGTGCTCGGAGAACTGTAGAGAGCTGACTTTTCAGTCTCTGACATGGGTTTATAAAGCAAATTTGTCAGTATTATTTCGAGCATCTAAATAAGACACAGCTTCATCCACAAGTAGTCCCGTGCTCCTATTGGATGCTTTAGGGGAATCCCCGGGTGGAACCAAAACCTATTTACTTTTACTGCTACACCCATGTGCTGTAAGTGTAGCTTTCCTAGTTCTACAGGGTTGAGGTCAACCACTCGTCAACCTGTCATAAGTTCTAGCACACTCAGCTTGTTTCTTACATTGCTTAACCTTGTTTTTCTAGTTCATCCATGTGTCTTAGTGGTTTACAAAAAATACAACTACTAATCTAACCTTATTCTTAAACATTCTAATTTAATAAAAACTCTTAAAAATGTCGAAGCAATTGGAAATTCCCTCAAAATAACCCAATTGCTTCATGTCTATCAGTATACCAAGTTTGAAAAAAAAAATCCCCAAAAAAGTTAAGTATGTTTTTCTATCAAATAAAGTTTCCATACTTTTGGTATGAAATAAAAAAAGGAAGAAATTCAATCAAAATTGGAGATTTTATATCGTGTATTTCTTAATGGATTGGCTTGAAATTTGGTATATGAAGTAAGGGTCGAGTAGAGCACATCCATTGAAAATATGTGATAGTTTGGATTACCACAGTCTGAGCTACAGAAAGTGAAAAATTGCTAAACTGTCACTGCTGTTAATAACTTACAGTGCATCCTGCAGGTTGTTTTAGCCGTAGGACACACTAGTATGTGTCTTGGTATGTATAGTT